TCATTTTGATATTGTAAAGGTAACTTTTGACAAAATCTGATTTTTATTGAAGGATCTAAGCAAGGTACTTACTGATATACAAAACATTGATAAATGAATAAACTTGTGTCATACACTTATAATAGCAAGTGCGTTTAAGTAAAAATGTAACCATTTTTACATATTAAAATGCTGAATTCTGCTTTATCGGGTGATAGTGGGCTTGGACGGTAGCCTTGTACTTTTCTGTAAGATCCACGAGCCTGCAACATTTTCAATTTGGCCATTTTGGGAGTTCTTTAGGTATTCTGTTTTCTCTATTTTACTGTATTCATTTAAGATTGCTTGCTTCCTCTACTAGCAACCATTCACTTTAAAATAGAAATCATTGTTCTTTTACAAACAACTTATTGTAGGAGTGGAACTTAATAAACGAAAAGCTGTCACTTCTACAGTTCTGATATTTATGGAAAGCAGTATAATCTGTTTCCTGCATATATCATTAAAGGGGTTAAATTTAAGTTGTTATGATACGGTGTGACTGAAAATAATTTTTTGAGATTTATGTTCCATTTGATGTAATTCTAGACCAATAACTTATGTGTGGAATTGCAGAATATTCGCTTCCTACGTTTCTTCCGAGAATAATTTTTCTAATTATGAAAAAAAAAAAACTCAAAATTGAAAAGCGTTGCAATCAAATAGATCTTATAATAGCTAAATTACGATTTTCATTTTATTTCTGTGTATATTTCTTAATTATCGTTTGCATAGCTTTCTCTGTTAAGTGTCCGATTTAATATATTTAAGATTTTTAAACTTGTTATAGGTGTTTGGACCTCAGTTGTGCTCCTCAAATTTTGCAAAAAGTAATCACGCTTAAAATCACAATATTTGGATGCGGATAAACTTTATTATCACCATCATGTCTTTATATTTTTGGTGAAACTATTAGAAATTCAAGCAAGAATTATCCTCTTCATTTAAACATTCACTAAATCAACGTGTCTTCAAAAAATTCAATAGGAATTTGAAGAAAAGCGAAATTCCAGCATTCATAAATAACACGGAGAAACAACCGATAACCAATAACAGGTTTTGTGTCAGTCTGCCTTAAAAGACTGGTTTAAGAAAATCAATGTGTCGTAGAAGCTTGCTGATAATCTCTCCTAGCACACATAAATCTTCTTGAATTAGACAAAGTCTTACCTGTTGCTTTCAGATCGGTTTAACAGATAAGATGCTAACTATATTCGGTAAAGTTTTAGGCCTCTCACTAAGAAAGACTTCGGAAAAATAATATGACTTTGAATGTAAAAGTTTTTTATTTAAATTCACGAATATCACTTTTTTTGAGTTTTAAGACACACCAATACAAATTCTATAGAGTGATTTGATTGGCTTTACTTAAATCATTGCCTTCACAAACTTCACTGACAATATAAAACAACATTTTACTTACTTAAATTAGAAGGAAAACAGTGTCAGTTGAAAATGTTTTTTTGTGTGATTAAATCAAACGTTATTTCGGCGTATTCTTAATAACCAAACTTATTCTTTAACTGAATAGTTTGTTCAGAAGAAATTTTGAACTTTTATTATGTATTGCAAACATTCTTCTTTCACTCGTTTAAGAGAGACCACCTATCGCCTACACGACGGAAAGTATCCTCATGATAGTATATATATTATTATCAATTCAATCTATTACTGAAAATGTATTGTTCAATTACATAAACAATAAAATACATAACAATCAAAATATTTTTTTCTGACAGTGTATTTAGTGTTATCTAATTTTAACATTGAGATTGCAGTGGTCTGTGAAGTGAAGCAAAGTGTGGTTACTGCTTAGAAGTTTGGCACCGACACTGTGATAGAAATAGCTGAGTGTTGTACGTTATTTTTCTATAAAAACCGAAAATGTTTATAGAGCAATTTTTTGTTCTAAAAATCAACATGCATTATATCGTTATATCAATTTATTATGTCTGAAATGTATAAAAATCTGGGCTGTTAAGTAACGGCAGTTTGTACCTTACATCTTTCAGTACAAAAGAATTTTTTAACCATTTTCGCAAATTGTTTATGAAAATTTTATGAATATCTGAAATATTTCTAGCCGAAAACATTTTGATTTAATAAAGGTAAGGTAGGTGCAACACATAATAAAATGTATCTTTTTGTTGAAGGACTAATTCCAGGAATTAAAAAGAAGTATTTACTTATATCTGAATATTTCCTGATTAAGCTAACTTGACATACGAATACGATCTTTCTATAAATCATTGTGTCTTCATAGCATTTACTAGACATTGGAACAAAAACCCAACTCCAGCATTCATAAATAACGCGGAGAAACACTCCAGTAACAGGCTATGTGACAGTCTGCCTAACTAGACTGGTTTTACAAATCATCAACATGACAATCAATGTGTCACAGAAGCTTGCTGGTAATCTCTCCAAGCACCCATTAATCTTCTTAAATAAGACACAGTCTGGCCCGTTGCTTTAACAAAGGAAGAATGTCAATTACAGATACATTCACAGAAGAAAAGTTTCATCATACCTTGTTTGTACTAAAGACAACAATCAAACTAATATTATGATATAATTTAGCCTGTCACGAATGACCTACTTATATTTCTCCAGCATTACCAATCATATACCAATCTGCTTGGTTTGAAAGGCCTACCATTAACAGCAAAACATAAACACTTGTAACGAACCCCTTCTTCGAGCGTTGGCCTGCTAACTCTAAAAGGGGTGTTACGTGAGTTTGCCTGGGCCCGGCTTGTGGCGAAAATAATAGAGAATGATTAAAGAATAAAATAACGGAGGCAATTTAAGATTTTAACTATAACTTTATTAACTGTTACATAAAATAGTCACATATAACAACATTCATCAATAAGACATAAATACAGTAACAATGAATCTATTATAACGTTATTTAATCTGCATCAATGATACCAATTCACAATGCAAAAGTTATATTCGGTGCACCACGGTTTTAAGAAATAAAATACACTAATAATAATGTTCACAATTTCACTACACTCGCGAAATCACTAAATTACGCACTTTAATAAATAATCTTTATTTAGAGAATATACACGTAACAATAATCACTATCCCGTTATTATTAACACTATTCGGATATCACGATACCAATATCATCAAATGTATGTTATTGCCGTTTATCAATCATCTTTGACTCGATAACGTGTTCGCTACCAAATTATACCAATTGGTATTTGGTATTAATGTTTATAATTATAACACTGACGTTCAAATTAATTATAGGATTATTTAAAATACATGTATAAAGATTTGCATCATCACCACTATGAATTTAAGTTTTAGGTAGAGCTAGCACACAAAATCAAAGTAAAACCTCTGTTGGCATCAACTGGTATCGATACCAGATAAAATTATACCAATATTGGTATTCTATCAAATATTCACAAATATGTTCTTAATATAATTTAATATAATTCATATAGACTCTATATATGTTGGTATATACCATACACACTTTGTTTTAATAATTCATAAATATTTCAAAAATATACCAACAAATATTATAGCACAACCGCGTATTGGTATTCGATACCAATTGGTATTTGGTATCGCGCGATTAAAATACACAGGAGATGGAGACAAGGGAAACACTTTATTTAATAAAACTTGGTTGGTATAACTTTACCTCTTCATCACACATATTTTATAAATTGGTATATACCCGTTGGTATATTTTTATTTAACCAAGAGTGACCGTATGAATGCCATCCATGCTCGACATTGTCTTGAATTTCGCGCCAGCTGCGCTTTTATATGACCTGTGACGTCATTGCTCGAGATTTAGTGGCGCGAGCTAATGGCGGTTCTGAACACGGAAGTAAATTAAAAATACACATTCTTTTGATGATTTCATGCAATATTTACTTTTATAAACACAATTTGCTGCACAAACAGTAAGTTCTTCAACTTTATTTCCCGTATATATGAATATTTAAGAGTTTAATACAGTTTAGTGGAAGTAATCAGCATATTACAGAGGACTCAACATTGCCGATTTTGAACACAAAATTTCCATGAATACTTCGTTAAAATATCGCGGTGCACAGTAAAACACTAATCTGAAAATGAACATACATATCATACATAGACAACAAAATGTGATTTATTATCTAAAATTAACAAATATCAACAATAGGATGATTAAGCACATTTAATAATCTGCTTTATAAAAATAGTGGGTGGGGTAACGAACAAATGAAATGATAAACAAGGTTCAAGGCATTTTGGGATTATAAGAGCTACTGAATATCAGTTCGTTACATTGCCACCAACCACTTAAGTTTTGGTCTCCAAAATTTAATTAATAGGTAGAAAATTTTAAAGCAATAGAAACAATCTTAAGAACAAAATATCATTTCCTCTAATTATGTAACAAGCACATCTTAATGATACCGATCAAATAATATAGATATTTCATATGACAATAACAGTTACACAGTTAAAATGTACATTAAGACATAGATCTATATCAGAACTCTTAAACATATTAACTTTAACTCACAAAAGTAACAAGAAATGCTGTAAGTCCTGATTAAAGTAGTAAACATAGCAACATACATTTTAAGATTGTCTTTGGATTCTTAATCATATTCAATGCATAATGAGATATAACTTAATACATAACAATGAATACTTACAATTATGCATAGCGTAGAACCTTAAGTTTCGTAAATCTATATATTTTATATTTAAATAATTTAAATGTCAAATATAAGAATAAAACAAACAAGACATAAAATCAACAAAGCAACAAATATTCATGATAGTGTCATTTAAGTGTCTCTTTTCACTTTATCACATTGAATATTAAATTAGCACAACAGTTTTCTCCAAAACACACTTTAAGTTTAACTTATTCACTTTGTATATCTTTATTTTATTTAAAGTCACATCACTTTTATGCACACATTTCGTTTTCACATAATCTGTCACTTGGTTCATCCCAGTTTATGGGCCTTTAAAGGCACCAGATTCGCAGAAACGACACTACACTGTTCGATTTTTCCTATAACCGCATTCACTAATTCCGGCAAACAATAGAAAGACGCCTCATAATATAGTTCGTACAAATATCTAACATCATGAGGGAGAGTCCTAAGGTCACATGATCCATTTCTAAGGAAGTTAAGAATAAACCTAAAGTGGGCAGGATCACGATCTATAAAATACTGGTTACCGTATCTTGGGGTCATTCCCTCTGGACTTACGATTCTTGCGAGTAATGAATTTGGATCTTTCGTTAATGTAACACGTGAGGTTTCAAACTTTTGCCCACCAATATTTAGTATAATTCTTTCTTTTTGGGTCTCCTCCATTAATGGTATTATATTCACATTACAATAACCCACTGAGGTCTGTTCCTGATTGTTTATTTCATTTTGACACTCCCCTTGAACAACTTCTTCACATTCTTTATTTTCATTAAGTGTCTTATTTTCACTGTTATTGTTTTTCACTTGATCAGCACCACTTTCAATATGATTAACATTTCCTAAATTAGTTTCCTCACTTTTCCCATCTTTTCCTTCTTTGACCATATTGTCATTATTATCAATTTCTTTGCTTGCTTGCTCTGTTTGTTTATTCTCATTTGTTTCACTTTCATCACTTTATTATTTATGTCTCCAACATCTTTAACTATTTTTTGTTTACTAATTTTATCTGAAATGTCCAACCTTTCATTTCCGTTCTCTTTAATGTTGCTGTCCTTCTTATCTTTATTTTGCTCATTATTTTGGTTTAAGTTTATCGTCTTTGTATTCATTTCTTTTTCACTTGATTTAAATTTTTTCACTGAATTTTCATTTGTCGTCTTCTTAGCCTTTTTCCTTTCATCTCTTCTATTAACAACATGACCATCTTTCATTTTATTCCCCTCATCACCTTTATAACTAACCCTTTTACTCCTTTCATCTCTTACCATTTCATTAACCTTAATTTTCTTCTCAACACATTTCTCTTTTACTGTATCACTATTTTTGTCTTTAACTTTTTCAACACTTTTCACATCAACACTATCTTTGTCTTTTGATTTACCAGTTCCTTTCTCATTTCCTATTTCCCCATCTTTGCCTACTACTTTTTCAACAACTTTATGATTTACTTTTTCAACAATGTTAACATTCAATTCCTTATCTTTTACACTTTTATTTTTCAATTTGGTTTTCATGTTAGTTGCTTTTGTCCCACTATTTACTTTTGTTGTATCATTCACAGACATCTTTTCAATGACTTTCCTTTTATCAGTTTCAACCTTATTCCTGCTCATATTTATCTCTTGACAAACTACAACACAATCCTTTAACTCCTCTTTTCTTACTGTCTCTGTCTTATCTAAGTTTAAATCTTTGTGTTCATTACATACTTCAGCATTTGTCTTATTAACTTCTTGTTTTGATTCACTTATTTTCTTATCTACTTCTGTTTGTCTGTTGTTTATATCTTTATTTTCTTCTTTCTTTTTCTTTGTTTCAACAAGTGAACTGTCACTATCACTTTCACTATCCGAACTAGTTTCACTGAGGGAAGTGCAAAACCTTTTCCACGATCGCCTTCTTTTTCTCGAATTTGTCAACTTTTTCTTTGGCACTACAGAACTCTCTGAAGAACTTGTTTCACTAGAGGAATCACTTGAACTTGAGCTTGAACTTGTGGATGATGTGTCCGATGTTTCAATATTATTGTTCATTTTATGTTTGTTCGTTTCTTTGGTTTGTTTTTGAGTTTTACTTTCAGCGTCGGTATCAACAAAATCAAGTTCCTCGTCACTTATTTCTTCAAGATCCATATTTTTTATTAGAACGTTTCTTTTCGGACTTTGCACGGGAGAAATGGGGTTTTTAATCATTATTTTTAGGTCAGTGTCAATGTCCATACTTGTGATTTCATTACTTTTTACACTTTCCGTTTTGTTATATTCACAGGGGGTAGGCCCATATTCAGTTTGTAACCTTCTTAATTCTGTAAGGAAACCAGATTTTACTTTTTGTACTAAATTAGGCATTTTACTCTTTTTCCATTCTGTTAGTTTAGCCGCAGCTCCATCTCGCTCTCCCTCTGGATCCATTTAAGCAAAATCTTGGAGTTGTAAGTTATAGCACTGATTGTGATTGTAACACCTTCCTGAAAACAATTTTCTACACTTCAAACACTGATAGTTAAAATGGCTGTGTTTTTCAATAACATGTCTGGATGCCAAATAGAAGTTCGAAAACACCACATTGCGGCACACCACTCACAACCACTAAAATGTAAAATAAAATCACTCATTTTAGGAACAATAATCTAAACAAGTGGCATACTATATATAGGTCAGATATGCATATAATTTTTGTTTCTTTTTATTTTGACTATTTATTTATTTATATATTTATAAATGCACTTTTTTTTCATTCTATTGACAATGACTAATGTAGATGTGAGTTCAAGTTTTATATAACACTTTATTCGTCAGTGGTCCCTTCGTATCGTTTTAGTCGGTCATGGTGGACGACTTTCGGTTTCGAACGTTTGTTTAATTGTATGCGGTACACTACATCATTTATTTTCTTTAAGATAACATACGGGCCTGTCCAACGTTTTGAAAGTTTCGCACTTAAACCGGGCTTAACTTGCGGATTATATAACCACACGAGGTCACCTTCGTTATATGACCAATATTTTAATCTTTTATCGTAAATTCGTTTTTGAGAATCACTAGCGATTGAAATATGTTTTCGCGCAAGATTATGTACAGCTTCAAGTTTTTCGGAAAGCATTATGGCATAATCGGTTTTGTTATGACTTGTAAGCGTAGAAGGGCGTCCTAGTGCTAAATCAATTGGTAAGTCTAATTCCCTTCCAAGCATTAACATACTAGGAGTAAAGCCAGTAGTTTCCTGTACTGCTGAATTATATGCCATACACAAAATTGGCAAATAGGCATCCCAATTCTTCTGATTTTCATCAACAAACTTTGTTAACATAGCTTTAATTGATCTTTGTCCTCTTTCTACGAGACCGTCCGACTGCGGCCTAAATGCTTTAGTACGTGTTTTTTCTGATCCGAGAATTTTACACATTTCCTGGATCAAGGAAGATTCAAAGTTTCTACCTTGATCAGAATGAATTTGTTTTTTTTGGAACTCCAAACACAGAAACAAATTTTTCTATAAATTTGGTTTTGCTACTAACTGTGACTCGCCTCTTGATTTTTAATAAGGGAATTGCTACAATCCATTTTTGTAAGTAAATCTACTATCGTCAAACTATGTTGTTGCCCTCATTCACTTTCTTGGTAGAGGGTCCATTATTTAAAGTATTTCCCCGCCCCCCCCCCCCCCTTTCTAATTGGACCTACATTCATATTGTTATTAAAAGCGGCTTGGCCTTTTTCTGAGGGTGTTTTCTGTGATGCAACACACATCCAAGTTTTTAACCAACGCTTTATATCATTTGTTTAGTCAAAAAGAATCTTTGTTTTCACTTTAAACTTGTTTTTCTAACTCAATGAAGCACCTTGTGGACTATTATGTATTCTTTGAAATCAGGTTACTAAAGTCCTTTGGTATCAAAATAAGAATAGTCAGAAGTGATCCATCATCACTCCAGCGATTGGTACACACACTTCGTCAATTATAAATAAAGACTCTATTCTATTCCAATAGTATTTGAGTTCGATACAACAAGGTGCAACATCTGACCATTCTGGTTTTTCATTTGTGTCTACCCAGTGTTTAACTGTTCTTATAACAGTGTCACTATTTTGCTTTTCTCGAATAATGTTCTTATTCAGGGTGGCTACAGCTTCTCTTACCGGTATATTTTCAAAGCATAAAGTATTCTTACATATGTTAGCATTATTTTCAGCTTTGCCATACGTTTCGTCTAGAATACCTTTTCGACCATTCATCTCTATATCATTACGACTCCCTAACTCTTCAGAGGTTTCGTTCTTATCAGTATGAGTTTCAATGACCTGCATATGTAAACCCTCATTGATTTCGTCAAGAACTTCATTATCTCTGAGCGCTTCCGTGTCAGCTGCTGTTGCTTTAGAGATATTCTTTGCGCGCTTAGATGCATCTCCAAAGTCGTTTAAGCAACCGTCACCATTACTTATACAACAATCTATCCTTTTCAAATTTGAGTTCTGACAAACGTTAACTTCATATGTTAATAACTTGTTTGTCCCCTCTACTAACGTTCTTGGGCTATCTTTAATACAGCTCTCATCTAGATTTAATTCATCTTTGAACTTTGCATACCTAGTCTCAGCTCTAATCACAGTAGCTGCACCCATCTTTACTACATGGCCGTCGTGACAATGCATCTGCATTTGAATGTATACGACCGGCCCTATGCTTTATTTTCAAAGTCCATAAATAGACAATGTTTCTAGCCATCGGGCAACCTGCCCTGCTTGGCTGTTTAAAGTTGGTAAGCCATTTTCAAGGCACCATGGTCTATCTTACAATAAAAATGGTGACCAAACAGATGATAGATGTTTTCACAGAGCAAATAACAGCAAGAAGTTCTCGCCGAGTTACACAGTAACGCCTTTCTTCTTTTTGAAAGACATTTACTAAAGTAAGATATAACCTTTTCTTCAGCTCCTTGTACCTGTTGCAGCACCGAACCAACTCCAACAGCACTTGCATCTGTATCTAATATGAATATACCTTCAGAAATAGGATAGGACAATATTGGTGCGATGGGGTCAATGCATTTTTCAATTGTTTCAAAAGCATTATCACATGAATCGGACCAAATAAAATGTTCACCTTTTTTCAGTTAATTTATGTAAAAGGTTTTGCAATTGAGGAGAAACCTTTAACAAATTTACAGTAATAGGAGCAAAGTCCCAAGAAACTTCTTATCTCGCGAACTTTTCGTGGTGTTCTGCCCAATTTCTTACTTCTTCAATTTTTCTTGGATCTGTTGCCACACCAATCACTACTAATCACATGACCAAGAAATTTTACTTGTTTTTGGAACAAAACACACTTTCAGGACTAAGTTTAAGGTTAGCTTCAACTCATTCTACCAAATATCTCATCAAGACTTGTCAAATGATCTTCAAATGTTTTGGAATAAGCTATGATATCATCTAGGTAAATACTAAACATTGCTTCCAAGTGAGTCCAGCTAAAACTCGTTCCATCAATCTTTTCAAAAGTAGCCGGTGCACGTTGCTTAGACCAAATGGCATTACGGTAAACTGCCGGAGACCAAACCTTTGTACTTAGAATGCTGTCTTATGTTTATCTTTTTCAGACATACCAACCTGCCAGAAGCCTGATTTACAGTCTAGAGTACTGAACCATGCCGGACCAGATAATGCATCAAGTGTATTGTCTATCCTTGCCAAAGGTTGACTGTCTTTCACAGTGCATTCACTAAGTCTACGAAAGTCACAACAAAACCGGATATTACCATTTGGTTTGGTAACCATTACCACAGGACTACTCCATGGACTAACTGATGGTTCAATAATACCCTTTTTAGCCATATCATTGACTTCCTGTTCGGCCGCAAGTCGTTTTGCTAAGGCACTCTATATGGAGCTTGTTTAACAGGTCGGGCTTGTCCTGTTTTCTATATTATGTTTCTACTATATGTGTTCTACCAATGTCACCAGAATCTCTAGAAAATATATTCTGATGTTTGATCAATAATTTTCTCACTTTTTCACTTTGATCCTTTGTTAAATGTTCCGTGGCCTTCTTAAAAGTATCATTTAAATGATCAGGTATATCAGTAGGTTTGTCACTTGAAGCAGTTCCAACTGTTTCAACGTGCACAATATCTGGGGGGCTTACTGCTTCATAAAAAGCAACAACTGTGTTCTTATACACAGTGCATGGTCTTGTGTCTATATTTGCAACTCTAATAGGAATATCTCCATTTTCAATATCAATTAGTGATTTTGCTATTAGCAGACCACTCCTTTCAGAAAACTGTTCATTTGGTTCTATAATACCAATAGTATCATTAATTACTTCAGCAGGTTTACCAAATAAAATCACTTCTGGTTTTGTGTTCGAGTTTCACCTTTGTCACGGTAATCACGAACCTGATTCATCAAGGCTTTCATCTGATAATTCAAATCATTTAATTTTCTATCAGTAGAACTTATTTCAGGAGCCACATGTCTGACATGGTTCCTCCCCCCTCTACTTTTATCTGCTTCTTTGTGTGCGTCTAGCCTAACGGCTACCTTTCAGCTTCACTAATGGTTTTTGGTCCTACTTCCCTTAATCTTAACCGAATGTCGGTATCCGGCAAAGCATCAACATAATAAGAAAATGCCAACAAATCAACAACTTCTGATGATGCACTAGGATACGCCTTTCTCGTTAGTTTTTTAACTGATTGTGCCAATTCAGGAATAGTTTCATTCCTTCCTAATATTCTACTTTGTAGTCGAAATCTAAATATCTCCACCTTATAAATAGAACCGTAACGATTTTGCAAAGCAGAAACGATTGAATCGAAATCACGCCGTTTTTCTATGTCTAACTCGCATAAAATAGCACGTGCACCCCTACTATACTACTTGCCAAAAATAATGACTTAGTATGGTAATTCCATTTATTAAGTTCCGCAACAATATTGAATTGCGCTAAATATTCGTCAAGGTCATCTGAACCATCAAAAGTTTGTGGCTTCATTTTACTATTTGACACGTCGGACATGCCACAAGTACCTTGCGTATTTACCGGATATTGTCGGGAATAATCACCTATATTACTATTTTTCTTGCCAAACGGCGTAATCTGAGTCACAGAATTAGGACCATTATTATTGGTATCGTCATTATCAGGAGTACTGCTTATTGGACCATTTTCAAGACATAAATCACGAGAACTCACATCTTTATTATGCATGTCATCATACAGATTTGTTTTATTGCACGATTTAGCATGGACATTATCAATCTGCGTTTGCATATGGTCTAATTTACTTTCAAAATCAATTAAAGATTTTCTCACTTCTATCTGTACAGAATGCAAACCTTTTTGTAACTGACTATTAAAATTGTTAACTAACTTTTCAAGAGAATTTTCCTCATTATCTCCATCTCCT